TATATCTGACTTTGTAATAAAAACAAATAAATCAACAAAAAAAAAAAAAAAGGAGTGGAGGCTAGGGATTGACAGGAATTGCCAACAGACTCCACTAGGTAAAGACACCTGGGTGACAGCTGACATGTGCTGGAATGGGTATGGATCAGTCAGGCTAGGATACAATCTCTTCCAGTGAGTACCAGGACTAGGAGCAGCCATGTAAGGCTGAGCTACAGCACCTGCTGGCATGCAAGATCTGGGGCTGGGAGCAGGTCTGATAGGGGAGCTTGATTGTAGCTCCCACTAGTAAGGGCAGGCAAGGCCAGGCAGAGACTTAGCACCCGTTTGCATATATGTATGGGTCAGGTCTGGGCGGGGAGCAGGATGGGTTAACTTGCAGCACATGCTGACATGAGTGAGAGCCAAGATAGAGTGCAGACCAGGCTTGGTTTGGGCTGAAACATCTGCCAGTTCATATGCGGGCCAGGGCTGGGTGTGAGCCAGGTTAGACTAGGGTGCTGCAGCCACTGGTGAGAGATGGGACTAGAGGCAGGCTGGGCTGAGCCAGTGAATGCCACATTGGGTTTAGGCTGTGCCAAACTGGGTTGCAGCATCTTTTGGTGTGCTGAAACCTAGGGCTGGGAGTGGGCCTGGTGGGGGAATTTGGGGACACTCCTACTGGGGTGTGGCTTCCACTAGTGAGTGTGAACGCTAGGACTGGGCATGGGCTGTTTCAGGCAGGGCTATAGCATCTATCAGCTGATATGTGGGCTGGGTCTGGAAGTGGGCCAGGCTGGGCTAGGCTGGTGCTCATGAGGACCAGAATGGGAGCAGGGTGGCTGGGCTAGGCTGGCAAGTGTTGGAATTTGGTGCAAGTCATGTCAGGCTGGAACATAGTACTCCCTGCCAAGTGAAAGATTCTGGGTTGGGAGTGGGCCTAGGAGGGGAACTGTGGGCGTTCCTGTGCCAGGCTGCAGCTCCTGCTGGTGAGCATGAAAGCCGGGGCTGGGGGCAGATTGGGCTAAGCTAAATGGCAGTACCCATGGATATGCACAAAAGCTGGATGGTATGCAGGATGAGCCTGGCTATGGTGCAGCACAAGATGGCACACATGAAAGCTGGGGCTGGGAGCAGACCTGGTGGAAGTTATTGGGGGTTGCCCCAACTAGGCTGCAGCACTCATTGGATTGCATGATTTCCAGGCCTGTGCTGGGTTGGGTTGGGGTAGGCCACAGCACACATCGGTTCACATGAGAGGTGGGGCTGGGGGTGGATCTGACTGGTCAGTGCAATGGCTGTTGTGACGAAGAGTCTGAACCTGACTGCACTGCTGGCACACAAGAGTCATGTCTGAGGTCATCCCAGGAAAAGTTTCTTGAAAGAATCTCCAGCTTGATCACTGGACTCAAAATCTGGTCACAGGGAAACACACAACATACGTAGTCCAATCTTGGACTGCGTGTATTGGGACTGAACCTCCTCTGTTGCTGATGACCTTGCAGGGGGATAGCATGTCCAGGATCTGCACACTGAGGACATGACAGCCAGCTCATCTAGGCCAGTAGGGGATGTGGAATAGTTCATCAGAGGATGGAAAGTGAAACATATTGGTCAACTCTCCTAGCCAAACTTTGCAGCAAGTATCTGGGCCTGTGGATGTATTTTGAGGTGGGCATGGTCAGCCAATAAACCTTGGAATGAGTTTCTCAACCCTGGTGCAATTAAGCTGATAGCTTCTCAGAAATATCAAAGCCATTCAAGTAACATTCTTGGAACATTCTTCCTCACCTTGGAGTCTCTAAGATGTCATCAAATGACTCTTCCTCATCCCTGGATGTTGATATAGTCTGACAGCAAGGAGCAGCCACCCCACCCGTTCACACTCTGTGGACAAAAAAAACCAACCAACCAAACAAACAAACAAAAAAAACAAAAAGAGAAAAAAGAGAGAGCTGAAACATTTTTTCCAATCACCTTCTTCCATACCTTGACCCTCCCCACCCTAATTAGAGGTCCACATGGGCATGTATCCCTCTTAACCATGTAAACAACATTAAAAATAAAATTTAAAATTTAAAAAGGATACCTGGAGGACAAAGGTCATTTTGAAGGGAATGATCAATTGCACAGGAAGTTAATTTGAGCAATCATTTTTTTGTGCTTATCATAGGAAAAAAAAAAAAAGGAACCTGAGCGGATTCTTGAAAAATTGATAATGAACAGAGGAAGGTTTTTCGGAGCAGAAGGTGCAAAAGCACAGAAAGGGGCCCTCAGGGACATGTGGAACATGCTTCCAAGTTGTCCCAAAGGAGGAAGTTGGAGTACGCATCCATCCACCCTTCTTGGTTCTCCCCTGGTTAAGAATTGCTCCCAGGGGGATTGACTCCCAGCCATTCAACCCTGTCCAGGTGGCTGCATTAGCACCCTGCACCAGAGAAGGCCCTTGGGAAGAGAGATGTGGGTACTTGGGGGGCAGGAAGCCAGCAGAGTGTACAGGAGCTCTTCACTATGTGTGTGGGTGACTTTGAGAACAGGCCTGGGGTTTCCGGTGATTTCCAAGAGCACCTGTTATAGTAGGGCAAGCTGATTGGGGAACCAATGGTCTCTACTTCACTAGACAAAGGAGAGCTCCCATCAGCTCCAGAATGTGCTCCAGGGGACAGATGGGAAGATGGATGGGAGGGGACCGCCTGGCAGCTGATGATCTCAGGACTTGGCAACTGAGTGGCCCTGGGGAGGGGGCAGGGGAAAGACAGGAGGGGTGCTCAGAGAATGTGCCTCTTCGGTAGGAATGATTAACTTCCACAGGACAGCTTTTGTTTTGTTTTTTAAGATTTATTTACGTGAAAGAGTTACAGAGAGGGGGGAAGAGGAGTGGGAGAGAGAGAGAGAGAGAAAGAGAATCTTCTATATAAGGTTCATTCTCCCCAAAACAGGAGCCCTTTGGTGCTAGGCCAGGTCAAAGTCATGAGCTAGAAACTCCCCTCCTCTTACTTAAGTGGCAGGGACCCATGCACTTGGACCATCTTGTGCTGCTTTCCCAGGTGCATTAGCAGAGAGCTGGATCGGAAGTAGAGCAGCCAGTGCTTGAACCAGTGTATGTATGGGATGCTGGCATTGCAAAGGACTCAGCTTGTTCAGAAGCATCAAAAAGGCTACGCTAGCATGAGCACTAAGTGCTGACAGACCCAGAAGACTACTCAGGACATTGGTCAGCTGTATTTGTCCTGCTTTTTGCCTTTTTCTGTGTTTTTTTAAATTAATTTTTAAAATTTCTTTTCCTCCTTGTCATAATGTAGTCCATTTTCAACAGGCTCCCATGAATCCTGGCCATCAAGCAGCATGACCAGCTTCTCATTCGCATTTCTCGTTGTTTGGCTTTGTTCCAAGAGAGGCAGTCCCTGTGTCGAGAACCCCCAGCTGAAAGGAACATCATCTCTCATGCGTCTGCAGGCTCTCAGGTAGGTCAGCATTAGCCCACCTCTGGACCAACCACGAGACCAGGACCATCACACCTAAGGGAAAGTCAGGTGTTGTTTTCATCTGGACCCTGTAAACAGTAGATGTCTTCTAGGGCATGAACCCCTCTTTCCCAGGCAAAGAAATTTAGGCTCAACAACGGGAAATGCATTGTTAGCTGTGACATGGCTAGGGGTCGACAAGAGAAGATTTGGATTCAGGTCTCTTTCTCAGGAGCCTAAGTTCCTTCCACACAGTTGACAGAGTCCTTCTCATTCTTCAGTGTCCCCATGCAAGTCCCAAACCTTGACCCATAAGAAGAGTGCTATTCTCAATGCTTCTCAGACGGGGTGCCAAGGACCATACATACCTGCCAGTTGACGGTTGTTAGTCCCTGGGGAATTAAATACGAAAATTCTGAGTACTTCTTAAGGTGAGTTTAGAGTAGTTTGACATTGTCGTCACATCCAAACGTTAGGATACAAAAAGATGGGTCTGAGGTGGGCTGCAAATACTCTGAGAAACACTGTTCTTTTGGTTGGCATCTACAATGACACCATGAACTCTGGGCCTGAAAGGGCAGCTGTGATAGCTCTAAGGGTCGCTCCCCAGTGAGGCCAGGCATGCATCATTCATTCCACCAGTCAGCTGGTGCTTCTGTTGTTCAGTTGGCCAACAGAAGTCTTGCTAGGAAGCCCACCCTTCACGTGGACCACTGCAGCCAGTGTGTCTCTCCTTCCTTCAAGAAAGACAAGCAGGAAGGAGCAGGTTCAAGCAGCTCCCGCGCCCAAAGGCTCTTGGTTCTAGTCCAGCTGGATGCTAGCTGATTCTACCCAGAGCCTGTGGGCACCTGCACAGTCAGCCTGGGCTTCACCTACCTGCTGCTTCCACACCATGCCCTAGAGGGACGATGATGACCAATACAGGTTGTCCTGTAACAGTCACCCGAAAACCAGACAATTTGTTTTTAGCTTCAGGTGGAAGGTCAATCCCAGGAGAATGCTGTCACCTTGCATTCTGACACTGGGCCTCCTCAAGTTGGTACAAGAGCCATGGCATGGCTCCTGCCCTTGTTTTTCCTTGGGCTGGACACTTCCTGATGCCAAGGTCAGGGTTCAACAGCACCAGCGTTTCTCAAAGCCAAGATGACTCAAGGGTGGCAAGTGGGAACCAGACACCAGTCAGTCCCTCTGCTGGGGGTTCCCAATCCCTCCAGGCCAGCCATGCTTTCACTTGCCTGTGCTATTGTGCCTGGTGCAGCAAAAAGGCCTGATAGTCCAGGTTGAAAGCCCAGTCTTGCCACTTTGCTGAGTAACCCTGGGCTGTGCACAGAGCCTCTCTGTATCTCGTTCCCCCCTTTGGAAAAGGCTGGAACACCCACCTGCCTCCTGGGCTGATTGTGAAGGTGGGAACTGAGATAGTACCGGAAAAACACCTGCTGTGTGCAGGCCATCCGAGCAGAGCTGGGGAGATAAGGGTGTTGCCCCCCCTTGCAGGCAGCTGGGGAATCCGACAAGACCTCACTCAGGCTCAGTCACTTCCAGCTGTGTGACCATGGATGGGTTTCTGAGCTTCTCTGAGCTGACATGGCCTCATCAGTAGGAGCAAAATACCAAACTGGCAACGTTGATAGCAATGGGGTTGACACTGGTAAAGATACGGTCTGGGATGCTGATATCCCATTGGATGCCGGTTCCTGTCCCAGCTGCTCCACTTCTAATCCAGCCCCTGTTAATGACCTAGGAAAGGTATTGTGAGATGGATGCAAGTCTTTGGATCTCTGTACTCACACGGGAGACCTGGTTGAAGCTCTTGGCTCCTGGCTTCAGCCTGGCCCAGCACAACTGGGTTGTGATCATCTGAGGAGTGGGCAGTGGTTGGAAGATCTGTCCCTCTGTCTCCTTCTTTGTATGTAACTTTGACTTTTAAAATAAATAAACACATCTTTAAAAAAAAATTGGTTGTAAGGAGTAAATGAAACCAAATATACAGGAAGGGCATGGTACACAGTGGACATCATGGATACCTGCACAGTCAGCCTGGGCCTCACCTACCTGCTGCTTCCACATCATGTCCTAGATATGGAAAAAAAATTATTTATTTTTATTGGGAAGGCAGATTTACAAAGAGAAGGAGAGGCCGAGAGGATGATCTTCCATCTGGTGATTTACTCCCCAAGTGGCCGAAATGGCCAAAGATGAGCAGACCTGAAGCCAGGAGCCAGGAGCTCCCTCTGAGTCTCCCACATGGTTGCATGATCCCAAGGCTTTGGCCCATCCTCGACTGCCTTCCCAGACCACAAGCAGGGAGCTGGATGGAAAATGGAGCATTCGGGGTATGAATTGGTGCCCATATGGGATCCCAGTCCATACAAGGCGAGGGCTTTAGCCGCTAGGCTACTGCGTTGGATACTTAACTTTTTTTTTTTAAATCTTAGAAATAATTTTTATTAAACACTCCAGGATTACAGAAGATCATATATAAAATACGTTTTGAACTCTGAGAAAATGACAATAAATCCCCAGGAATTCTTCAGCCAGGTAAACAATCTGCACATTCTCACTACCTTTGAGAGTTGCCACTTTCCTCCACACTCAGAGAAATCACAACTCGAAACTTTGCGTTTGTCATGTCCTTGTTTCTTTTCATTGTTTTGCTGTGCCATGCTCCTTAACTTAACAACGCATTCACAGCAAGTGCTCAGGATCAGTCCACGAGGTGAGGCACTGAGGATCCCCTTGTGTGCAGACAGACTCAGTGGCTGCCCAAGAACCCAGGAAGGAACACAGCCTTTGAGATCGTCATACACAACAGTGGCATATACTACAAGGGGAAGTACAAAGCTACTACAAGGCTCCGTGTAGAGGCCATAAGATCATTCGAGTAACTTAAGGAAGTCAGGGATGGCTTCCCGGATGAAGCGATGATTGAAGCATGAATGGGAAAAGCATTCCGGATAAGGAACAACACGTGCAAAGCCCTGTGTGTAGAGATCCCAGTTGAAAGGACCGAAAAGAGGCCAGGGAGGTGGGAGACCCGTCAGTGATGAGGCCTGAAGTGGAGAGGGGAGGGGAGAGCAGGCCTGCCGAGCTCTGGATTCCAGTCTTCCCTCCTATTTGAGGTGATTGCACTCACTTTCAGTCATGATCCCTCCGGCTGCAGCGTGCAGGTGGGCCAGGAATGTCTGCAGGACATCGCTGTTGGAGCGCTGCTGTGCAGGTGAGTGATGGTGGCGAAGGCAGAAAGGAGGCGAGTAGCGGCACTCTGTGTGTCAAGGGCAGTCCCTGGGTTTGTGTGTCCCGGTCGCCAGCGCAGCAGGTTTGGAGGGTAAGCTTCCAGGAGTCTGGCAGACATGAAATGTGGTGTTACTCAGCCATCTGTGAGGTGAGGATCATTTCCTGCCCCGTTTGGGGGAGATGCAGGATCCTCGGGCCTGTGTCAGGTGTGTTCCAGGGAGTCCAGAGCAGGGAGCTAGGAAGGGGGTGTAGGGAGGGATACTTTGAGGTGCTGGCAGCCTGGGTGTAGATGCACATCGTGGCGCACCTCTGGCTGACTGCACTGAGTACGTGCAGTACGTGTGTCATCAGTCGTGGTTCTTGAAAAATGTCAGTGAGTGGGAGGTGAGGACGTAGAGACGGAACACAGTTGCCCTGCGGAGGCAGGAGCCAGAGGGGGGAGTGATTGTGGGAGCGGTTGTGCGAGTGACGGAGCTGCCTTCTGTTTTTGATTACAAGGTGGCTTAGCCACGTGGAAGGAGGTGATGGAAAGTCCAGAAGACAAGGGTCATAAGAAACACAAGATCTCTAAGTGAGCTGAGAACCAGGAGGACCCAGGTTGGAACAGAAGGGAAGGAGAAGGGGCTGAGTAGAAGTGCAAGTGCAAGTGTGTGTGTGTGGGTGTGTGTGTGTGTGTGTGTGTGTGTGTGTGTGTGTGTGGCGAGGAGGGCATGGGAGAAGATGGGAGACGGCCTCTTCTTTTTCCCTCTGTCCAATGGAAGGTGGAATCAAGACTCAGAATAAGGGCAGAGCACTGGTATGAGAAGAGTGGTGAATATTTAAAGGGAGCCCTGTGGCATGGCTGATTCCTGGGTTGCATCCCAGGCTCTTCCAAGGGCAAGCCATAACCTTGGGGGAAGTTTTCTGTCTGAGGGCAGGTTACGGACCCTGGAGGAAGGCTTCTGTGACAGTCTCAGCAGCATTTGGCATTTTGGACACAGACACAGAGGAAGCCTACAGGAGCAACGATTGCTTGACCAGTGGACAGAAAGACACAGGGCAGGAGGATTCGTAGCATGGATGACACTGTGAGGAAGACCGTGGGCCTCCATTCAGGGAAGGACACGAGGGAGAAGAGGGTGACAGGCTAGAGCAAAACAGAGGGTCAGCAGGTGCAGGGCGGTGGGAGGACGCTTGTGCAGTATGAGTGGGCAGACCACGGCTGGAGGGCCCCATGTGTGAGCTGTGTACTTTTAAAGCTGGAGCCCACCTGGCCTCTCGCCGGGACCCAAGAGAGGCTGTGGCAGGGGGTGAGTGGGCGAGCAGGTGAACGAGTGAGTGTACTTATGTGATCACCTGTGCCATTGTCCTCCAGTTAGTCCAACAGCCTGTCTGTCTTGCTTCCTTTGGATCACAATAAGCCTGTCTCAAACTCCTCGACTCCTCCAGTCTTTGTGTTTCAGCTCGGAATGCCCCTTCTAGGAAGAAACCTTCTGAATGCTCCCCCGGGAAGGTTTTGTGAGAATGAAAAGATGACCTCTGCTGTAGGAACTGCCACCCCAAAGACACTCACCACTGCCCTTCCTGCCCTGTTTCCTTCCATCTGGAGCTGCATGTCTTCCTCCTCCCCGGTTGGAGCCCCGCGGCAGGCAGGCACTTGTTGGAGTTGCTGGCTCTGCTTACCCTCTGTGCGCTCACTCTGTGTGCTGAGTTTTGACACATATTTCTCTGTTTCATCCTTGCCACAACGTCATGAGTGGTTGGTACCACCATACCCTCTTCTTCCAGTGGAGTGGAGCTTTGCCCAGGGCTGCAAGAATCAAGGAGAGGTATGGCTTGTCTTTGTATCTCTAGTCTCAGAATAGAGAGGAGGGGACAAATGGGCCCTCCAAGAGTTCAGCAGGCTTCCCATTCCTCATCCTACTCAAGTTCAATTGCTCGAGTCACTCCTGACTCTCAGCAGCAGGATTCATGCACATGGGCAGAGGCCTCCCTAAAATGCAGGAATCAGGTGCAGGACTCTGGTGAGCTGGTCCAGCTGGCCAGTTCATCCTAGAGACTCTTGTGGTGGAATGGATGTTTATGTCCTCTAAAAACTCACTTGAGGCCATAATGCTCAATGTAAAGGTATTTGGAACTGGGGCGCTTTAGGAGTTAGTCAAGGTTGGGTAAGATCATCGTGAAAGCTTGCTTTCCGTTCTCCAGTGTAACACACTAAGGAAGCCACAGGAAGATGTAGTGAGAAGGCAGCTGGAGGGAAGAGAGCTGGGGACTGAATCAGCCAGCAGCTTGAAGCCTTCAAAACTGAAGCATTTTTTTCCTTCATTTAAGTCAACTGGACTATGGTGTTTTGCAATGGCGCCTAGAGTCAATGAATACAGCCCATCTTCCTTCTGAAAGGCTCATGCATCCTTTCGTCTCTTTACAAGGAGGTTAGCACTTCCCATGGTGGCCTTCTATCCTGGAAGAGCTCAGCCAAAGGCTGGGTGGTCTCCCTTTGGGGAGGAAGTTCTCCCGTGGACGCTCCCAGCTCTGCCTTCCAGACCCACACAACACCAGGTGGATCCCTCTTCCCTGGCGTATTCAGGCAGAGATCTTGGCCATCCCCTACCCCCATGCCCAGTTTAGGTTCTTTGAGAACAGAAGCCATGTGAGTCTAGGTTATTGCCCTGTCCCCAGCACCTGGCACAGCACTTGCTGCAAAAGTGAGGCCTTAGATCTATCTATTGGCTGAATGAACAAAACTGTTCCTCCAGGTTAAAATGTTTTTAGCTTCTTCATACCTCTAAGAACTTGGCTTCAAGGTACATTTTCCCCTACTTTCTTCTCACCTGCTGTTTCTGTGCTCATTTTAAACAATTATTATTTTATTCTGATAATCTTTATATAATTGATTAGGGCACAAATGGTCAAGGGCTACAGGAAAGTGGGTAAGACCATTGTTTCCACATTTTTTTTTTTTCTGTATCTGGGGTAAGGAGGGAGATAAAGGGAGAAGCCCCACCCAGCCTCCCATCCCATCCCAGGGTCCCCTACATGGAGCAGGCTCCGAGGGTCCTGCTCAAGTGGTTTTGATAGTTTAACAGTTTTGAATTGCTGCCAATCTCGCCATTCCAAACATGATGAAATCTCTCCAGAATCCACTGGCTGGTATTGTCCACATTAGAGTCTCCATTTGCCCAGATTTTTCACTGCCTACACATGGCTGGAGTAGTTGATCGATTTGTTCTGTCCTTCATCCTTTGTTGTGGTACCGATGGTGTGCAGGTTCCTATGGTCTGCCATATCCTCCATGTGCACTTGGATGTGCTGTCCACTGCTCCGTTTGAGCCTCTGAGGAGGCTCAGCTTTGACACTTGCACTCCATGGTCAGACAATGGAACCTGTACTTCTCTTCATGGTTGGGGTTCTGAGATCAACAGTTCAGTTTGAGGAATCCCCAAAGACACTTCATCTGAGGTGATCTCAGACCTGATTCTTATGTTTACATGCCAGTACAGGATCTGGCACTATCCATTGCCCCAGTCAGCTTATCCATATACTGATGGTTGCAATTGCTGGGTCAGTTCTGTTTCCAGCCCTGTCTTCCACACAAACCAATGGGTGTTGCAGTCCAGCCTGATTCTGCCCACCACACACTCAACCCTCACACTGCAGCCTAGTTGGAGCAACCTGCAATAACCTCTGCCAGGCCTACCCCCTGCCCCGGTTCCCATGCTTGCCAGTATGTATAGCAAACTTGTCCAGTCTGTCCCACATCCCATTCAGCTCTCCTACATGTCAATGGACACAGCCCCACTTCTGTGCTCATTTTGCAGAAGTAGTATTTTTGTTCTTGTGTTAGAATGAAGCACTGGCTCATCTATCTTGATAAGCTATCAAACATTCCTTCTATATTTTGCCATTTTTTACATTTCTCTGCCTTCTCTTTCCACTGTGCTGTTCCAGTAGAGGACAATGGACGTTGTAAGAAGCAAAAGAAGGGAAAGATAAGCTGATACTCACTCACTACAGCTGTTCCAGAGGTGCGCCTCTGCTGCTCAGAGAAGGCTGAGGATGAGGGAGAGGAGGGGAGCCAGAGCTCAGGAACCCGGGAAGACAGGCTACAAATCTCAGCCCCACCACTCCAGAGCTGTAATACTGGGGCAGGCAGACACCTGTCTGAGCTGGATTTCCTCAGCAGTGATGAAGATTTGCCACACCTCATAGTGCAGGTGGTACCTGAGTCGCTGCCCTTAGAGGTGTGCCCAGCACAGCATGCTTTGGAGCAGGGATGATGATGGAAGGAGGCAGGGGGTCCTCTCAGAGACGGGTGAAGGTGTTTCTATCACAGGAAGTGAGGCTCAAACCCTGGCTGGGTCACCTTGCGTGAGCAATGGCGCTTCTCTGAACCCCTTGCTCCTCCTCATCTGTCCATGGCACAGTGCTGAAGAAGCTGCTGAGATGCCCACATCCTGTGTCAAAGGGCCTGGCTCTGGCCTCAGCTTCACTCCTGCCTGATGTGCACTCTGGGAAGTAGCAGGGGATGGCTCAGTGCTCAGATCCCGGCCACACCCACAGGAGAACCGTGTTGCCTTCTGGACTACATCGCTGCAAAGGGACAAGTGCTGGCATACCAGACTATGAGGTTTTAAAGATTTATTTTCATTATTATTATTATTATTTTTTATTGGAAAGGCGGATACAAAGACAGGAGAGACAGAGAGGAAGATCTTCCGTCCGATGATTCACTCCCCAAGTGAGTGCAACGGCCGATGCTATGCCGGTCCAATACCAAGAGACTCTTCTGGGTCTCCCACACGGGTGCAGGTTCCCAAAGCTTTGGGCCATCCTCAACTGCTTTCCCAGGCCACAGGCAGGGAGCTGGAAGGGAAGCGGGGCTGCTGGGATAGAACCGGCGCCCATATGGGATGACGGGCGTGCAAGGCGAGGACCTTAACCACTGCGCCACGGTGCCAGGCCCAAGACTATGAGGCTTTAGAGGACAGAGCCAATCTCCAGGTGGGATCTGACCTCCTGCTCAAATGCCTCTCCCATCTTCTTCACCTTCCTCAGCTGTTATCCTCCTTTGAAGCCGTGTTGTTCTGGAACAATTGAACCTGCTCCTAGACAGAACTGGGAAGGGCCTAGTTCCTGGCCTGTAGTACAAACTAGAATGTTTATTGAATTAACAGATTAATAACTGTAGTATAAAACTCAGTCCTTTTTATTTGAATTGGCAGAACTAAATCTTTCTTCATCATGCATTTGTGAACATTTTTAGAAGGCTTTAGTTATTTGTATATTTAAAGACAGAGAGAGAGAGAGAGAGAGAGAGAGAGAGTGAAAGGAGAGAGAGAGAGAGAGTGAAAGGAGAGAGAGAGAGAGAGAGAAGAAGAGACCTTTCATCTGCTGGTTCATTTCGTAAATGCCTACAGCAGCTGGAGCTGAACCAGACCAAAGGTAGGAGTCAGAAACTTCATCCAGGCCTCCCCTGAGGGTGGACTGGGCCAGTGTCCTTGGTCATCTTCTGATGTCCCCTCAGTGTATTAACAGGGAAATGGATCACAAATGGAGTAGCCAAGACTCAAACTGGTGCTCCAATATGGGATACCGATGTCCCAAATGACAGCTTAACCTTATATAATGTAATGCCCCTGTCTCATGTGAACATTTAAAAATCACCAAGGAAACAAGTACTGCTTCTAGAAAGCTAATCACATTAATCAAAGAGAAAATAACTGATTCAATGCATTCCTACTGTCCAGCTGCAACCACTGCTGCCAGCAAGTGGCTAGATAGATTCTTCCAGACATTTTTCTAAGTAAATCCATTTAAATAACAATCATAATATGATTTTTAGTAATGAGCTTTTTTTTTGTTTGTCTCCTTAGTAATACTCTGGATGCATTATTTTCTTAGAAAAAGTATAGTGACAGAGCAGGCTTTTATTCCAATTCCCTGCTCCAAAAAGCAATTTAATTGATCATCCTCGGGTGGGGACTGTATTAGATATTAAACTGATAAGAACAAATACTTCACCTGACCTAAGCGCTTTGTGCATGTTAATGTGTCTAATCACTGCTAAAACCTGATGAATTAGATGCTATTATTCCTTCAGGGTTACAGGTTGGCAAATGTAAATATAGCGAGTGTAAGTAACTTGTCTAAGATCACACAAGTAACAAGTTAAATCTTGGGGCCTGATCCAAATCCAGACGCACAAGGTCTCAGTCTCCGGCCTTGCCCCGTACTGTGTGTGTTTCTGGTGAACATGCCGGCAGCTGGGTCTTGGCATACAACCTTGGTCATCCCTACTTGGCTCAACATAGAACAGCAGGGTCAAAGGCTATACACATTTGAAATTCCAGACAATTAAATTTACTTATTTTCATTTTATTTGAAAAGCAGAAAGAGAGAGAGAGAGAGATCTTTCATCTACTAGTTCACTGCCCAAATAGCTACAACAGTCACAGCTAAGCCAGGTCAAAGCCAGAAGCGAAGAACTCAGTCCCTAAATCTCTTCGTGGCTGGCAGGGATGGAACAACTCCAGCCTTTGCCTGCTGTTTCTCAGGGTGTGCACCAGTAGGAACCAGGACACACTTAACAGTTTTTAATGGAAAATCCAAAATAAAACAAAAGGGCCTGGCGCGATGGCCTAGTGGCTAGAGTCCTCGCCTTGAACTTGCCGGGATCCCATATGGGCACTGGTTCTAATCCCGGTGGCTCCACTTCCCATCCAGCTCCCTGCTTGTGGCCTGGGAAAGCAGTTGAGGATGGCCCAAAGCCTTGGGACCCTGTACCCGTGTGGGATACCTGGAAGAAGTTCCTGGATCCTGGCTTCGGATTGGTGCAGCACCGGCTGTTGCACTCATTTGGGGAGTGAATCACCGGATGGAAGATCTTCCTCTCTGTCTCTCCTCCTCTCTGTATATCTGACTTTGCAATAAAAAATTAAAAAAAAAAAATCCTTTAAAAAATAGTAAAACAAAATAGCTCTTTGGACTCTTGGATGTTTGAACTCTGCAGCTCTCACACTTCCCGGTCTCCTATCTTTAGAGACTATATTTTGTGGGTCCAAGAATCTGGGCGTGTGGGGAAACTTTCCAGGGTTTCTGAGGGCAGCACTTTCCTGGAGCCTGGTTCAGTCTGTCCTCTCCTCCGGGGAGGGTTCCTGACCTCCAGGGCAGCAGCCTGCTGTGCTATGGCCCAGACCACACTGAGCTGTAGCCGTCCATGTCTGGCGCTGCAAGCTGCTGAAGGCGGAGCCTGTGCCTAAGGCATCTGTACTCTCAGTGCCTGGCCTGTCAGGAGAAGGTGCTCCAAAGTATCATGCGACAGAGTGTACAAGTAAGCGTTTACTCAGTGAATGAGTGAATGGGCAAGCTCTGCTTTTATTTCCTCTCTAATTCCCAGGTGCTGCTATTTTTTTTTTCTTATTTAGAACATTGGAGAATAAAGGACACAAAGAAAAAGATGAAATACCCAGTGCAAGCATGGGTCATCAACCATAGACTCAGCGTGATGTTCATTCTCTCCAGCTTCCCTGTCTTTGTGGATGTGCCGTCCCAGTCGCAAATCCCACAGCCAGCCTACTTTCACACCAAATCAGGACCGTTGCCAGAGCTGTTCTTCAACAGGACTGTGGTGACTGCCCACCTGCTGTCTCACCCAGTGCCCAGTGCAAACCTAATGTCTTCCACATCATCTGCTCACAGTCCACTGTGTTAGGGAGGGCGGGTAGGAATGGTGCTTTCTCTTTCCCAGTTGTCCTACAACTTTATCATATTTTTTATAGTCAGAAAAACAAGCATTTAAAAATCTCAGAGTGGACCTTTGCCCAGCATTTAAAATCTTTTATTATTATTATTGTTTTCTTTGGAAAGGTGGAGATACAGAGAGGAGGAGAGACAGAGAGAAAGATCTACTTGTCTGCTGATTCACTCCCCAAGTGACCACAAATGGCCAAAGCTGAGCTAATCCGAAGCCAGGAGCCAGGAGCTTCTTCCAGGTCTCCCACATGAGTGCAGAGTCCCAAGGCTTTGGGCCATCCTCTGCTCTTTTTCCAGGCCACAAACAGGGAACTGGATGGGAAGTGGAGAAGCTGGGATACGAACTGTCACCCATATGGGCAATCCCAGGCTTGCAACGTGAGGACTTTAGCTGCTAGGCTACCACGCTGCACTGGACCCAGTTCCCCTTTTTGTAAGGTAAGAATCAGAAAGCCTCTTTGTGGAGTTGTTGAGAAGAGATGTGAATTAATGTATGAAAAGTGCTGAGCGCAGGGGATGCCCAGCGTGTCATCTGTTGTCAGCAAATGAAATGTACTGTTTTCAATATCATAGACTATTTTAGCCCCAACTTTTAGATGAGGAATCATATAACAACAAATGGCCGAAGGGGCGTGCCTATTGACCTGCTCTAAGAGAGTCTACACTCTAGCTCCCAAGGGAAAATGGTAAGTGTCTATGCTGTCTACATTGTGCATGGTATGTGTGCAGACATTTTATGTATCTTTGGATAATGCCATCTTAGGAACCAGCAAGCATGGCACATGGACTGTCCTATTCATAACAGCACATGGATGACCTTGTCCTTGTTTAATGGAGTCCAACACTGAGATCCTCAGAGGTTCCAAGATTCGCCCAAGATCACACAGGTAGCCGATGTTTGGGTTGGGCCCTGAACCTTTGACCACTATCTCTCTCTGAAATAAGTTTTGAAGACGTGAAGTGTTTTGTTCCAGGTCTCACTATATTCTCCACACTGGCCTGCTACCTCCCCAAATAGTCTTGTGGAATTTTCCAGGATCCAGGCCTGGCAGTGACCTCTGCAGTCACTGGGTGTTTGACAGAGATGAGCAGGAGAGAGACTTCCTGAGTGTCAAAGAGCACACTGGGTACCCAGAGGCCAAGTAGGTGAAATGCAAGAATCCCAGCAGGCTGCACCCGCGCGCTGCCTCCCGGCACTTCCCTCCCAGCCCCTTCCTTCTCGTTTCAGCAGGAAGGACCGGAAGGAATCCTTGCTGTTTGCTTCAGGATGCTGCTCACACAAACAGACAGTTCCACACCTTACACTGGCCTCTCCTTTCCACTCCCCTCCCCGTAGTGAAAGTAGGTGCACCCATAATGAGCATGATGAGCACAGCTGTTTGTGAGGGAAAACTTCCCTCCTCTGGGTGCTGTCCCCAGAGAACTGATGGTTTGCTTGAGTACCTGCAGTGGAAGGATCCTAACCAGATGCCAATCTGTCTGATGGCAGGGCCCCTGCTTGAGTCACTGACTGCAAAGTCAGTGTCGGGAGCCACAGACACCATAAGCAAAAGGACCTGAAGTTGGGAGTTCAGTTGCACTGGGGGCAGAGGTGGGGGTGAGGGGTGGGGAAGGAGCCCTGGAGTAGATTTGGAGTGTGGTTCTGAGTTGCAGCTTGTCCCTGGGTTCCCAGTGACTTGGGTAGATAATCTAATCTCTCTGTGCCCTGAGATAGCTGGTCTGTACAACAGAGATCCCACAGCCCACTCTGGGTTGTGTGAGGATGGCAAAGGAGGACCATAAAAGGGGGGGAGACCCCTGGGTGCTGAGTGAGCCATAGGGATGCACCTGGGTCCCGCTGCCAGTTCCTGGTCTCAATTCTCTGTTAAAAGGGATTTATCCAAGTATTTAAAGGGAAAGTTCCCTCTGCCCAAAGTTAGGTGGCAATGAAAAGTACCCTGGAGAGAAGGAAGCATCTAGAATTAAGCATCTAGAAAAAGGGGGTAGATCTGGCCTTAGTAGTTAGGAGAGCTGATCAGGACGGCAGGATCCCATTCCCGATTCCTGCTTCCTGCCAATACACATTCTTGCAGGGCAGCAGAAGATGGTTTAAACAGTCAGATGCTAGGGCCAGCACTGTCGATCCTCTGCCTCTGGTGCCAACCTCCCATATGGGTGCTGTCTCAAGTCCCAGCTGCTCCCTGCTAATACACAAGGGAAAGTGGCAGAGGATGGCTCAAGTCCTTGGGCCCCTACACCCATCAGAAGTTCCTGGCTCTTGGCTTTGACATGGCCCAGACCCAGCTGTTGCAGCCATTTGGAGGCCGAGCCAGAGGATGGCAGATTCTCTCGCTGTGTGTCTACCTCTCCTATAAATCTGCCTTTCAAATCAAAATGAAAACATTAAAAAAAAAATAGTTGCGGGCTCAGTGCGAAGGCTCAATTGCTGAATTTTCATCTTGCAAGTACTGGGACCCCATATGGGCACTAGTTCATGTCCTGGCTGCTCTATTTCCTATCCAGCTCCCAGCTTGTGGCCTGAGAAAGCAGTTGAGGATGACCCAAAGCTTTAGGACCCGGAAGAAGCTCCTGTTTCCTGGCTTTGAATTGGTTCAGCTCTGGCCATTACAACCATTTGGGATATGAACCAATGGATAGAAGATCTTTCTGTTTCTCCTTCTTTCTGTGAACCTGCCTTTCAAGTTGAAAAAGAAAAAAACTTGGGTGTCTGCCACCTACAACTGAGGCCCAGATTGAGTTTTAGGTGTCTGGCTTTGGCTCTACCCAGCCCTTCTGTTATGGGCTTTTGGGGAGTGAACCAGTGGGTGGAAGCTTTGTATGTATGAATGCTCTTACAGATGGGAAGGAAAAGACCACTGCTTTCAAGCTGGAAGATTTGGGTTTTGCCCTGGACCTCCAGTCCCCAGGGTGTGAGGTGTCTTCTGCCCTAGCTTGACCTGGCCTCCAGCTCTGTCGTATGCCTTCCTAGACTTGGTTTGGTAATCTCTAGAGTGAGAGTGTTTTGCATATAGTCTCCCAAATGCACTTGCGCTGGCACACCCCTCAAGGTCATCAAAGCCCCATCTCCTCCCCAGCTTTTGGTGTCCAAGTCTCCCAGACCCACCTTGTCCTCTCTACCTCCAGATTGAGGCCTCGGTAGGGACCCAGGTGGGCAGAGGACGGGAAAGGGGCACAGTGCCACAAGGACAGATTGCTCCCTCCTTGGCCCTTCAGTCCCCCCCCCCCTTCCCGCTTCAAGTGGCCTAGGGGCCTGGCCTGAGATCAGAGGTCCACCAGCGTCAGCCCTGACCCTG